CCATGTGGGATCTCCCTGTCCTGGATGGGATGGAGCAGGAACACAGGGGTTTGCCCTGTGGGATCTCCCTGAGGATGGAGGGGGGTCCCACCTCCTGCACCCTGGCTGCCCCGTGCCCCTCGCAGCGCTCCAGGCCAGGCTGTGCCGGCAGCAGCGGGACGCGGAGCGGGAGCACAGCCGGCTCCAGGAGGCCGTGGCTGACTTGGAGACCAGGCTGGGGGAGCGGGAGCAGCTCCTGGAGCAGGTGGGGCCCTGTCCCAGAGCTTTGGCCCTGTCCTGAAGCTGTGGCCGTGGCCATGGCTGTGTCCCTGCCCGTGTCCCTGTCCCTGTCCCTGCCTGTGTCTGTGTCCCTGCCTGTGCCTGGCTGGAGGAGCTGGGATCCTGCTGGGATCTCCTCCTGGAGCTGTGTCCATGTCCATGTGTCACTGCCTGTGTCCCTGCCTGTGCCTGGGTCCATCTCTGTGTCCTGTGCCCCATGTCCATGTCTGTGTCCCTGTCACTGCCTGTGTCCCTGCCTGTGCCTGGGTCCATCTCTGTGTCCTGTGCCCCATGTCCATGTCTGTGTCCCTGCCTGTGTCCTTGTCCCATATCCTTGTCTGTGTCCCTGTCCGTGTTTGTGTCCTATGTCCCCTGTCCATGTCCCTGTTCTGTGTCCCCCTGTCTCTGTCCCATCCCTGTCCCTATCTGTGTCCCATGTCCTTGTCCTGTGTCCCGTGTCCCTATCCCTGTCCTTCTGTCCCTGTCCCTCTCTCCTGTCCCCATCTCTGTCCCTGTCCCTGTCCCCACCCTGTCCCTGTCCTCTATCCCCTGTCCCTGTCCTCTATCCCGCCTTGTCCTGTGTCCCGTGTCCCTATCCCTGTCCTTCTGTCCCTGTCCCTCTCTCCTGTCCCCATCTCTGTCCCTGTCCCTGTCTCCTGTCCCTGTTGCTACTCATGTCCGTGTCCCATGTCCCCTGTCCCTATCCCTATCCCCTGTCCCTGTCCCCACCCTGTCCCTGTCCTCTATCCCCTGTCCCTGTCCCTGTCCCCTATCCCCTGTTCCTATTCTCCTGTCCATGTCCTCATCCCTCTTGCTATCTCTGTGTTCCTATCCCCTGTCTCGCTCCCTATCCCTGTCCCTGTCCCCATCCCTGTCACCGTCACTGTCCCCGTGTCCCCATCCCTATCCCTGTCCCCATCCCTGTCACTGTCTCACTGTCCCCGGGCTCAGAACCAGCCAGGACTGGGAAAAGGGCTCAGAACCAGCCAGGACTGGGAAAAGGGCTCAGAACCAGCCAGGATAGGAACTGGAAGGGGCTCAGAACCAGCCAGGATTGGAACTGGAAGGGGCTTGGAACCCCTTGGGTGGGAGTGGGACTGGGAGAGGGGCTCAAAAGCAACTGGGATGGGAACTGGGCTAGGAAAGGGGCTCAGAACCAGTAGGGTGTGAACTGGAAGGGGCTTGGAACCATCTGGGCAGGAGTGGGAGTGGGAAAAAGGCTCAGAACCAGCCAGGATGGGAGTGGGACTGGGAAAGGGGCTCCAAACCAGCCAGGACTGGGAAAGGAGCTCGGGACCAGCCAGGATGGGAGCAGGGCTGGGAAAGGAGCTCGGGACCAGCCAGGATGGGAGTGGGACTGGGAAAAGGGCTCGGGACCAGCCAGGATGGGAGCAGGGCTGGGAAAGGGGCTCGGGACCAGCTGGGTGGGAGCAGGGCTGGGAAAAGGGCTCGGGACCAGCCAGGATGGGAAAAGGGCTCAGAACCAGCCAGGATGGAAGCAGTGCTGGGAAAAGGGCTTGAAACCAGCTGGGTGGGAGCAGGGCTGGGAAAGGGGCTCGGGACCCGCCAGGATGGGAAAAGGGCTTGGGACCAGCTAGGATGGGAGCAGGGCTGGGAAAGGGGCTCGGAACCAGCTGGGTGGGAGCAGGGCTGGGGGCTGGAAGGAGCTCAGAACTGGCCAGGTCGAGCCCACTGGATGCCCGCATGGGACCGGAGCTCCCTGGCTGGAAGCAACCTCTGGAATTTGCCTCTGGGAAGGGCAGGGCCGGGCTAAAAGGGAAGGGCAGGAGGGCAAGCCCTGCGGAAGGGGTGCCTGGAGCTGTCCCCGGGCCCGCAGGGCGCATGGCTGGAGGAGCAGCAGGCGGAGCTGCGGGAGCGCTCCGAGGAGCGGCGGCGGCTGGCGGCCGCCTGGGCCGAGTTCCACTCGCGGGAGCGGCTGAGCCGGGAGCGGGAGGAGCAGGACAAGGAGCGCACCCTGGGCATGGACTCGGCGCTGAGGAGCCTGGCCAAGGTCCCCCATGGGGACCCGGGGTCCCAAAACACCCCCCCTGCTCCAAAGGACGGGGCAGGTGACCCTGTGTTCCCCCCAGGATCAGGCAGAGCTGAAGTTCCGGAGCTGGGAGCTGAGATCCAAGGAGGAGCAGCTGGCCAGGGACAGGGAGGAGCTGGACGAGGCCTGGCGGGAGCTGAGGCTGGAGAAGGAGAAGGTTCTGCGGGCCGAGCAGCGCCTGCAGGAGCGGGAGGAGGAGATCCGGGACCTGGCTGAGGTAAACAGAGCATCCGGGCTGGAGTTCCAGCCAGGAGCAGAGCTGGGGCTCACAACCCCCTGAGCTGGGGCTCCACATGCCCTGGAGCCATTCCCAGGTCCCGTTCCCCTATCCTGGCACTGTTCCTGGTCCCATTCCCTATCCTGGTCCTGTTCCCCATTCCCGTTCTCCGTTCCCCATCCCATTGCCATTCCCCGTCCCGTTCCCATTCCCCTTCCCATTCACCATTCCCGTTCCCTGTTCCCATCCCGTTCCCATTCCCATTCCAATTCCCATTCCCTGTTCCCTGTTCCCATTCCCTTCCCTGTTCCTGTTCCCATTCCCCATTCCCCGTTCCCTGTTCCCATTTCCCGTTCCCTGTTCCCATTCCCGTTCCCATTCCCCGTTCCCTATCCTGTTCCCATTCCCCATTCCCGATCCCGTTCCCGATCCCATTCCCCGTTCCAATTCCCCGTCCCCATTCCCATTCCCCGTTCCCGTTCCCCGTTCCTGATCCCGATCCCGTTCCCATTCCCTGTTCCTGCTCCCATTCCCCGATCCCGTTCCCGATCCCATTCCCCATTCCCGATCCCGTTCCCATTCCCCATTCCCAATCCCGTTCCCATTCCCCGTTCCCATTCCCCGTTCCCATTCCCCGTTCCCGATCCCGTTCCAATTCCCCGTCCCCACTCCCGCTCCCGCCCGCAGCGCTCGGCGCGGCAGCAGCAGGACGGGCAGCGGGCGCTGCGGGAGGCGCGCAGGGCGCAGCAGGAGCAGCAGCGGCGGCTGCAGGAGCTGCAGGAGCAGCAGGAGCGGCTGCGGCAGCAGGAGCAGCGCCTGATATATTATATGTGTTACATATAAGTTATATATTATATATATTTATTATATATGTAATTAAATTTTATAAGTAATATAATATATATGTGTGTTTATATATGTTATATATTATATATAATATATACAATATATTATATATAATATATAATAATATGTATTATGTATTATATATTATAATTATACATTATATACTTTTATATTTTATTATGTTATTATATTATTATGTGTAATACATAATATATGACATATATGTAATATAATGATATATTACATCTGTAACTACTATATATATAATATATTATGGTATATATTATATATAATATTATATAATGTTATACATTATATTGTTATATAACTTCTTAATTCAATGGACAGTTGCCACAAGGTTTATTTTGCTTTTTCTTTTTTTTCTTTTTTTGTTTTTATTTAATTCCCACATTTCCCATTCCCACATTTCCCACCTTTCCCCATTTCCCATTCCCACCTTTCCCATTCCCACCTTTCCCCATTTCCCATTCCCACCTTTCCCATTCCCACCTTTCCCCATTTCCCATTCCCACCTTTCCCATTCCCACCTTTCCCATTCCCACCTTTCCCGTTCCCGTTTTTCCAGGGCCGGCGGAGCCTGGAGCGGCAGCGGGAGCAGCTCCGGGAGCTGCAGGAGGAGCTGGGCCCCGGCCTGGGGACAGCGCTGGGGACAGGGACACTGCCAGGGACGGGGACACTGCTGGGGACAGCGCTGGGGACACCGCTGGGTACGGAGACAGCGCTGGGGACACTGCTGGGGACAGGGACACTGCCAGGGATGGGGACAGTGCTGGGGACAGGGACACTGCTGGGGACAGGGACAGCGCTGGGGACAGGGACAGTGCTGGGGATGGGGACAGTGCTGAGGACACTGCTAGGGACGCACACCTGGGGGGGGGGTCACACACACCTGGGGGTCACACACAGACGTGGGGGGGTCACACACACACCTGGGGGGGGTCACACACCTGGGGGTCACACATCTGGACAGGTGTGACACGCGGGGTTCTTCAAACAGCCGACCTTCTGCAGCCACTGCACCGACTTCATCTGGTCAGTCACACACCTGGGCAGGTGTCACACACCTGGGACACCTGGGGGGGTCACACACCTGGGGGGTCACACACCTGGTCAGTCACACACCTGGACAGGTGTCCCAGGTGTGCCCAGGTGACCTCGGGTGACCCCAGTTGTGTCCCCAGGTGTGTCAGGGATATCTCAGGTGTGTCCCAGGTGTGCCCAGGTGTGCCCAGATGCCCCTCCAGGTGTGCCCAGGTGTGCCCAGATGCCCCTCCAGGTGTGCCCAGGTGTGCCCAGATGCCCCTCCAGGTGTGCCCAGGTGTGCCCAGATGCCCCTCCAGGTGTGCCCAGGTGTGCCCAGGGGTGCCCAGATGTGCCCAGGTGTATCCCAGGTGTACCCAGGTGTGCCCAGGTGTATCCCAGGTGTGCCCAGGTGTGCCAGGGAACACACATACACCTGGGGGGGGTCACACACACACCTGGGGGGGTCACACACCTGGGGGGGTCAGACACCTGGGGGGGGTCACACACACACCTGGGGGGGTCACACACCTGGCGGTCACCCCACGCTCCGCTGTCCCCTCCTGCAGCCGCTCCGGTGGCTCCCGGGCTGCTGCCGGCCCTGGGGACACTCGTGGGGGACAGCGGGGACAGCGCGGCCGCGCTCTACGGCCACGTGCTGCTGCTGAAACACCGCGCCAGGATGGTGGGGACAGCCCGGGAACGGGACGGGGCTGGGCAGGGGAACCGGGATGGGGGAGAGGGTCTGGGAATGGGGAGAGGGTCTGGGAGTGGGGAGAGGGTCTGGGAGTGGGGGAGAGGGTCTGGGAATGGGGGAAAGGGTCTGGGAGCGGGGGAGAGGGTCTGGGAATGGGGAGAGGGTCTGGGAGTGGGGGAGAGGGTCTGGGAATGGGGAAAGGGTCTGGGAGTGGGAGAGAGGGTCTGGGAATGGGGGAAAGAGTTTGGGAGCGGGGGAGAGGGATTGGGAATGGGGGAAAGGGTTTGGGAATGGGGAGAGGGTCTGGGATTATGGGAGAGAGGGTCTGGGAATGGGGAGAGGGTCTGGGAATGGGAGAGAGGGATTGGGAATGGAAAGGGGGAAACTGGGCTGGGAAAGGGGTTTGGAGCCAGCTGGAAAAGGGTTTGGGGCTGTGGGAAAAGGATTTGGGAATTTCCAGGAGGGAACTGGGATGGGAAGGGTTTGGGAAAAAGGTTTGGGACAGTCTGGAGAAGAGTTTGGGAATGGTCAGGGGGAAACTGGGCTGGGGAAGGGGCTCAGAACCTGCTGGGAAGGGTTTGGGACTCTGGGAAACGGTTTGGGACCAGCTGGGAAAGAGATCTGGGATTGTGGGAAAGGGTTTGGGAATGGGGGAAAGGGTTTGGGGTTGTGGGAATGGGTTTGGGATTGTGGGAATGGGTTTGGGATTGTGGGAAAGGGTTTGGGGTTGTGGGAATGGCTTTGGGATTGTGGGAAAGGCTTTGGGGTTGTGGGAAAGGGTTTGGGGTTGTGGGAAAGGGTTTGGGATTGTGGGAAAGAGATCTGGGATTGTGGGAATGGGTTTGGGAATGGGGGAAAGGGTTTGGGATTGTGGGAATGGGTTTGGGATTGTCTGGGAATGGGTTTGGGGTTGTGGGAAAGGGTTTGGGATTGTGGGAAAGGGTTTGTGGGAAAGGGGTTTGGAGCCAGCTGGAAAAGGGTTTGGGGCTGTGGGAAAAGGATTTGGGAATTTCCAGGAGGGAACTGGGATGGGCAGGGTTTGGGAAAAGGGTTTGGGACAGTCTGGAGGAGAGTTTGGGAATGGTCAGGGGGAAACTGGGCTGGGGAAGGGGCTCAGAACCTGCTGGGAAGGGTTTGGGACTCTGGGAAACGGTTTGGGACCAGCTGGGAAAGAGATCTGGGATTGTGGGAAAGGGTTTGGGAATGGGGGAAAGGGTTTGGGGTTGTGGGAATGGGTTTGGGATTGTGGGAATGGGTTTGGGATTGTCTGGGAATGGGTTTGGGGTTGTGGGAAAGGGTTTGGGATTGTGGGAAAGGGTTTGGGATTGTGGGAATGGGTTTGGGGTTGTGGGAATGGGTTTGGGATTGTGGGAATGGGTTTGGGATTGTGGGAAAGGGTTTGGGATTGTGGAAATGGCTTTGGGACCGTCTGGGAATGGCTTTGGGACCCTTGGGTGGGCTCAGAGCGGGGCTCAGAACCGGCCGGGGGGGGCTGGGCTGGGCTGGGGGCTCGGAACCTTCCGGAAGGGGCCGGGCAGGGCCGGGGGGGCTCAGGCTGTGCCCCCTCCCCAGGACCACGATTTCCTGGAGAGCGAGCGGCTCTTCCTGGAGAACCTGAAAAAAGGGCCCTGAACCGTCTGCAAGGGGAATGGAGCTTGGGGAAATTAAAATTAAAATTAAAATTAAAATTAAAAAAAATTCCCTGCTGAAAACCTCCCCTGTTTGCAAAGAGAAAGATTCATTTATTTTTCAAATAAAAACAAATTCCCTGCTGAGAACTATCACTTGTTTGCAAACAAAAAAGGGATAAAAATAAAAATAAATAAAAATAAAAATAAATCCACAGCTGAGAACCTTCCCCCATTTGCAAAGAGAAAAATGGATTTTTGTAAAAAATAAAAATAAAAATAAAAATAAAAATAAAAATAAAAATAAATTCTCTGCTGAGAACCTTCCCCTGTTTACAAACAGGGATTTGGGGGATGAAAATGATTTTGGGGTGAAAATGGGAAGTTTGGGGATGGGAATTTTTGGGATAGGAATTTTGGGATGGGAATTTTGGGATGGGGATTTCAGGAATGCAGTTCTGGGGTGGGAGTTTTGGGATGGGAGTTTTGGGATGGGAATTTTGGAACGGGATTTTTGGGCTGGAAATTTTTGGGATGGGAATTTTGGGAATGCAGTTTTGGGACGGGAATTTTGGGATGGGAGTTTTGGGATGGGAATTTTGGGAATGCCGTTCTGGGCTGGGAGTTTCGGGACGGGAGCTCCTGGCAGTGCCCGGGGCCGGCTCGGAGCCTCCCGTGCCGCTCCCGCTCCCTCGCCGCCGTTCCACGGCTCTGTGACGGTCCCGCCGCGGAACCGGGGCCGCTCTGTGACGTCATCCCCGGGCGGGACCCTCGGGGAGCGGCGGGCACCGGCGGGCCGGGGGCTCTGCCGCGGGCTCGCTGTCCCCAGCATGGCTCCGCTCTGGCTCCTGGTCCTGCTGGCCGCGGCCGCGCCCGCCCGGGCCACCTGGGACTCCTGCGAGTAGGTGCCCGCAGCCGGGGGTCCCCGGGGGTCCCCGAGGGTCCCCAAGGTTCCCCGAGGGTCCCCGAGGTCGCAGCCCCGTGCCCGTGCCAGGCTCCGGCACAGATGCTCTGGCACCAGCGAGGGGACACGTGTGGCACCGGGGGTCCCTGTCCTGGGTCGGGGTGTCACTGTCCCCGTGTCCCTGTCACTGTCCCGTGTCTCTGTCACTGTCCCCGTGTCCCTGTCGTTGTCCCGTGTCGGGGTCCCTGTCCCGTGTCTCTGTCCCTGTCCCCGTGTCCCTGTCGCAGCCCAGGGCTGGCACAGCCGCTCAGGCAGGACCAGTGAGCACAGCCACGCCCCTGGGGGATGTCCCTGTCCCCGTGTCGCTGTCCCTGCCCCGTCCGGTGTCGCAGTCGCTGTCCCCATCCCTGTCCCTGTGTCCCTCTGTCCCTGTCCCTGTCCTTGTCCCCATCCCTGTTCCCATCCCTGTTTCCCCTATCCCTGTGTCCCTCTGTCCCCATCCCTATTCTCGTCCCTGTCCCCATCCCTGTCCGCTGTCCCCATCCCTGTTCCCATCCCTGTTTCCCCTATCCCTGTGTCCCTGTGTCCCCATCTCTGTCCCCATCCCTGTTCTTGTCCCTGTCCCCATCCCTGTCCCTGTGTCCCTCTGTCCCTGTCCCCTCCCTGTCCCTGTCCCCATCCCTGTCCACTGTGTCCCCGTCCCCTCTGTCGCTGTCCCCATCCCTGTCCCCTCTGTCCTCGTCCCTCCCCCTCTGTCACTGTCCCCATCCCTGTCCCTGTCCCCTCTGTCACTGTCCCCATCTCTGTCCCCATCCATGTCCCTATCCCTGTCCCCTGTGTCCCCTCTGTCACTGTCCCCTCTATCCCCATCCTCGTCCTCTGTGTCGCTGTCCCCATCCCTGTCCCCTCTGTCCCTGTCCCCATTCCTGTCCCTGTCCCCATCCCTCTCCCCTCTGTCCCTGTCCCCTGTTTCCCCGTCCCCTCTGTCGCTGTCCCCATCCCTGTCCCCCTGTGTTGCTGTCCCCTCTGTCCCCATCCCTGTCCCTGTCCCTGTTCCCATCCCTGTCCCCTCTGTCCCCATCCCTCTGTCCCTGTCCCCTCTGTCCCTGTCCCCATTCCTGTCCCTGTCCCCATCCCTGTCCCCTCTGTCCCCGTCCCTGTGTCCCTGTCCCCACGCTGTCGCTGTCCCCCAGCGGTACCTGCGGTCTCCAGCCCATGGCCGAGGAGTTCGGCGGCAGCTCCGGGGCCGTTCGCGGGGCCTGGCCGGGGCTGGCGAGCGTCCAGGACCCGCTGCGGGCCGGCAGCGGCCACGTGTGCGGCGGGAGCCTGATCGCCCCGGGCTGGCTGCTCACGGCCGCCCGCTGCCTGCCCCGCGCCCGGTGAGCGGGGCACGGCCCGGGCTGGGCCGGGATGGGCCGGGATGGGCCGGGATACGGCTGGGATGGGCCGGGGTGGGGCCGGGATATCCCTGGGATGGGCTGGGATGGGCCCTGGATGGACCCAGGATGGGCTGGGATGGAGCCGGGATACAGCCAGGCTGGGCCGGGATACAGCCGGGATGGGCTGGGATAGGACGGGGTGGGCTGGGATATCCCCGGGATGGGCTGGGATGGGCCTGGGATATCCCTGGGATGGAGCCAGGATGGGCCGGGATGGAGCTGGGATATCCCCGGGATGGGCTGGGATGGAGCCGGGATGGGCCGGGATGGGTCTGGGATATCCCCGGGATAGGCTGGGATGGAGCCAGGATACACACGGGATGGGCCCAGGATGGGCCAGGATATCCCTGGGATGGGTCTGGGATATCCCTGGGATGGGTCTGGGGTGATCCAGGGTGGGGCTGGGATGGAGCCGGGATGCACCCGGAATGGGCCCAGGATGGGCCAGGATATCCCTGGGATGGGTCTGGGATATCCCTGGGATGGGTCTGGGGTGATCTGGGGTGGGCCTGGGGTGGAGCCGGGATATCCCTGGGATGGGCCAGGATGGGCTGGGGGGCTTTGGGCTGGCTGCTCACGGCCGCCCGCTGCCTGCCCCGCGCCCGGTGAGCGGGGCACGGCCCTGGCTGGGCCGGGATGGGCCGGGATACGGCCGGGATGGGCCGGGATGGAGCCGGGGTGGGCTGGGATGGACCCGGGATACAGCCGGGATGGGCCGGGATACAGCCGGGATGGGCCGGGGTGGGCTGGGATGGGCCCGGGATACAGCCGGGCTGGGCCGGGATACGGCCGGGATACAGCCGGGATACGGCCGGGATGGGCTGGGATGGGACGGGGTGGGCTGGGATATCCCTGGGATGGGCTGGGATGGAGCCGGGATACAGCTGGGATGGGCCCGGGATATCCCTGGGATGGAGCCAGGATGGGCTGGGATGGAGCTGGGATATCCCCGGGATGGGCTGGGATGGAGCTGGGATATCCCCGGGATGGGCTGGGATGGAGCCAGGATACACCCAGGATGGGCCCGGATATCCCTGGGATGGGTCTGGGATATCCCTGGGATGGGTCTGGGGTGATCCAGGGTGGGCCTGGGGTGGAGCCGGGATATCCCTGGCATGGGCCAGGATGGGCTGGGGGGCTTTGGGAGGTGCCGGGGTGGGTCCAGGATGGGCTGAGGTGGGCTGGGATGATCCAGGATGGGCCTGGGGGGCTTTAGGATGGATTCGGGATGATCTGGGATGGCTCTGGGATGGCCTCAGGTGGCTCGGGGGGGGTCTGGGAGGCTCAGGGACGGCACCGAGGAACTTTGGGATGGTCCCGGGAAGAACCGGGATGGCTCCGGGGTGGCCCCAGGATGGTCCCGGGATGATCTGGGATAGCCCCGGGATGATCCCGGAGGCTCCGGGGTGGCCCTGGAAAACTCCAGGATTATCTGGGGTGTCCCCGGAAAGCTCTGGGGTGGCCTCGGTGGGCTCCGGGATGATCCGGAATGGCCCTGGGATGGCCCCGAGGAGCTCCGGGATGATCTGGGATGCTCCGGGATGGCCTCGGGATGTCCCCGAGAAACCCCGGGATGGCCTCGGGGGGCTCCGGGATGATCATGATGGCCCCGAAAAACTAAATTTGGGGGGATTATCCGGGGTGGCCCCAAAAAGCTCTGGGACTATCCAGGATGGCCCCGGGAAGCTCCAGGATTATCCGGGATGGCCTCGGGAAGATGCGGGATGTCCTGGGATGGCCTTGGGAAGATGCAGGATGTCCCAGGATGGCCTTGGGAAGCTCTGGGACTATCTGGGATGGCCTCGGGAAGCTCCGGGATGTCCTGGGATGGCCTCTGGGGGCTCCGGGACTATCCGGGACAGCCCAGGGAAGATGCGGGATGTCCCGGGATGCCCCCGGGATGGCCTTGGGAAGACGTGGGGTTATCCGGGATGGCCTCGGGAAGATGCGGGATGTCCCGGGATGCCCCTGGGACAGCCCCAGGAAGCTCCGGGATGTCCCGGGATGACCTCGGGAAGATGCGGGATGTCCAGGATAGACTCGGGAAGCTCTGGGACTATCTGGGATGGCCTCGGGAAGCTCTGGGATGTCCTGGGATGGCCTCGGGGGGCTCTGGGACTATCCGGGACAGCCCAGGGAAGATGCGGGATGTCCCGGGATGCCCCCAGGATGGCCTCGGGAAGATGCGGGATGTCCCGGGATGCCCCTGGGACAGCCCCAGGAAGCTCCGGGATGTCCCGGGATGACCTCGGGAAGATGCGGGATGTCCCGGGATGCCCCCGGGATGGCCTCGGGAAGATGTGGGGTTATCCAGGATGCCCCCGGGAAGCTCCGGGATGCCCCCGGGATGTCCCGGGATGCCCCTGGGATGGCCTTGGGAAGATGTGGGGTTATCCGGGATGCCCCCGGGATGACCTCGGGAAGATGCGGGATGTCCCGGGATGTCCCCGGGATGTCCCCGGGAAGCTCCGGGAAGCTCCGGGATGCCCCCGGGATGCCCCGCGGGGCTCGCTCCCCTCACGGCGCCGCTGCCCGCAGGAACGTCAGCTCGTGGCGGGTGGTGCTGGGCGCCGCCGACCTGAGCGACCCCGGGCCCGAGGCGCAGGTGCGGCGGGTGCTGCGGGCGCGGCGGCACCCGGGGCTGGACGTGGCGCTGCTGCAGCTGCAGCCGCCCGCGGAATGCAGCGACTTCGTGCAGCTGGGCTGCGTCAGCGAGGCCGGGCCGCCGCGGGGGCCGCAGCGCTGCTACATCGCGGGCTGGGCCCGCCTGGAGGACACAGGTGAGGGCCGGGTGGCACAGGTGAGGGCCGGGGGGCACAGGTGAGAAGCCATTGTAGGCACAGGTGAGAGCCGAGGGGGGCTGAGCTGGGGCTGGGGGGCACAGGTGAGCAACAGGGGGGGCTGAGCTGGGCA